CAGACCATAAAACAAGTCAATTTAATCAAATTTACTATATTTATACAGTTGCCCATCAAATATTCATTAGTAACTTGCAGATTAAACTCAGTATAAACTACCAGTAGCATAATAAGAAACAACTAAAATGCAGCATTTTTTTTCTCCTAAGACACATAATATAAAATCAGCAATTCAGATTAAGTTAAATAGTGCAAATTCAAAAGAACTTAGAAAGCCTGAATAAAGAAAAAAATCTTCATCAGACACCCAAGAAGCATCAAATGTGAACCAAGTGAGTCTACCTAGGGAGATTCTTCCACAACTGGGGCACAAACACAGAGAAGGCTATAAAAGGTTAAGTGCAAGAATGAATGGCTTATATGTTTTCTCATTTGAGGAGCTGGCCTTGCCCACTGTATCATCCAGGAAATGAGACGGGAGGAAAGTTTCCTCATTCTTTGTTTATATAATAAACCATAAACTAGACACATAAGCCAATTGTGAACTAGTGTTGCCAGTAAAGCACAAGCACAGCACGATCAAAATGTCAATTCAATAATCCTATGGCTTAATTTTTAAAACTTGCAGTTTCCATTTAAAAAAAAAAAACTCCATGTACAACACATTACAATTGTCTGAAGGGGAAACTTGCACAACATAGATAAAATGTAGCCAAGCTATCTCCATCCAGATATGGTTGCAGATGGTATTATCAGCCACAAGCAACAAAAGTAATACAGGAAGGTTTTGCAAATCTTTTGAAAGGGGTCCTTCAGAATTCCCAAGAAGGCCTATGAAGCACTTCTTTACAAATCATTAAAGTAAATGTGTCTTCTTCCAGGCATGTCCATCTGCTCTGGAATCTGCTTCCACTTGTCTTTGTACTTTTGCGCTCACAAAGCTGCTTCACTTCCCTGATACATTCTTATTCTTATTTTTAAAATCTCCCCCTAAACACTATCAAAAGTTATACTCTAAGCCTCTTAAATGAGACTTACCTACAAATAAACTGAACAAATAAATAAATCAACAAGCTTACAGAAGCACATTTCAAAGAAACGAATTAGAGAACAAGATTCGGATGGATGCCGCAACTGAGCAGCAGAAAAAAAATAACAGTAATAGTAGTAGTAATAAAAATAATATGCTACTTATTAAAACTTATTTCAGTTTCAGCACATTGCATCATGGAAGAGGTAGGAATCAGGGCTTAAAAAGGAACTGGAGACAAGTAAAGATTCTTAGTAATACCTCATGTCCTCAAAGCAGAGTACGTAGTCCTACATGTTCCAAATGTTCTCCCCTTTCCTACTTCAACAGTTGGCCCATTCACAGGAACCTTTCACAATATGATGTTTGCTTAAAACAAAGCAGTACAACAAGAAATAAAAGAAATAAGGAAAAACCTTAAAAGATTTCACAGAAGATATTCCACTGTCTGGCTGTCTTTGATAATCATATCTGGAGAAAGGTCCTTTGAGTACAGCTCCTGTATGCCTTAAGTCAACCGTTTCTTCAACTGCAATATTACCCCAGTGAGAAACTTCAATGACACGTGTCATGCTGGTGATAGTCAAGAATGGGCTGTTGTTTTCATAATGTATCTTAAGGCTGTCCTAAGAAAAAGAAAAATTACCAATTCATTAGTGCTGGGTGGGGGGAAGAAGGGAAAGAAAGGGGAATATACTCAGGGGAATACTTCTCACAACAACAGAAGATTCCCTGATCCCGGCATAGTTCATTCTTGTTCAGGTGGAATACTTATCTCTCTGCAGAGGGAATACACTTCTGATACCCACACTGAGAACTACCTATAGGATAATGTACTGCTCCTGATGTTCAAAGGAAGTATGTCTTTTAAGAAACCTGAATATTGATTTGGGGATCTATTTGCAAGGCTGGGCCAATGGGTTATCAGCCTTTTCTAGGTGCAATTTTGTTTATATACTTGTGTTCATTTACGTTCCCATGCAGGCCTCGGAGAAGGGGTATTCCATTTCTCTGCAACCAGTGTATAAACACCAACTACAGGTAGTCCTTGGGTTACGAAGGCAACTGGAACCTGGATTGCCATCGCTAAGTGATGCAGTCATAAAGCACAATATCATGTGATCCCATTTTTTAGTGGCAGCAGTCCCAGTTGCTGTTGTAACCCCAAGACATGTGGGTTGTTAAACGGGAAGAGACGGGTAAGGAGCACAGGGATGCTATGAGGGGGGAGGCCGGGGAGGGCTTGGGAGGACTGGCACAGACCGCATGCAGGCAGGGCACGTGTGCAATGGATGGGAGCAACTTACCGGAGTGACTTGCGACCTGCCCTGCTGGCTTCCCCATTGACTCTGTTTGTGGGAAGCTGGCAGGGAAGGTTGCAAATGGCGATCATGTGACGGCAGCTCCCTGTGATGTTGTAATCACAAGCCAAACAACCAAGCATGATCATGTGACTGCGGGAGAGCTACGATGGCCGGAACTTCGGGGACCAGCCGTACATCCATCTTTAAAGCACCACTGTAACTCTGAACAGTCACTGAATAAATGGACATAAGCAGAGGACTACCTGTATCTGCTTTATGACAGATCATAAAAGGTTTCACTCTTTCCAAATGGACTACTAAAAGAACATTCTATCCTGCTCCATCTACCAAGTCGCTTGCAAAGATTTCCTTTTATTTACCCACATGGAATTCTTTAACACCATAGCAACTAGCCAAGACATTAAATACAAGACTTTGTATTTTTTCTTTCGTTTTTATTCAATTCGTTCTTTGTCACCTTTTTATATTAAGTCTGACAGAGCAATAAATGACAAATTCAAGCTTATTCTACCAGTATGAGCTTGCAACTAAAAGTTTACCTCACTGTATGGGGGTATATCCTTGAAGGGTCCATATTCAATCATATCCTCTGAGCGGTTGGGATTGCCTAACTTGGTGTAGTTTTCAATGTTTCTTGAGGCCAGTTTCACACGGGTTGTCTGGGTCTTGGTTACATATGGAGAGTAGAAATAATGATTACCTTCAAAAACCACAAACTGTTTCTCTGCCTGAGAGATGTGTGTGGGGTAAGGTTGCAGGACATGTGTGAAAATTGTTTCAATAGATAAGCGAATTTTTCCACCTGGAGCCAAAGGAGCTGGCAATTTCACGGTGAAGAATTTGCCACTAAAAAGAGAAAAAAGTAGAAAGCCAGTCAAGCTCTTTTGGCCTGAGAGATATTTACAACTTTGTCAAAAAAATTAACACAGATCCTCCCTAAAGAAGATATCCCCTACCATGCCTTATCACCACTGCTATTCTGAAAAGGCATTGTTATGCAAACCCAAGATCACCTCTGCATTCCTTGCTTCTAACCAGGTCCACTGCTATCAGCAACTGAACTGTGAGAGGTCACACTCTTAGAACTCGAGCAATTTCAGCTGCTAAAATATGATGGCTAGCTCTTTTAGTTCTAATGCAATAAATATATTTAAAAGCCTATGCAATGTATTCAATGCTAATATAATAATGTGAAATAAAGAACATGTTAACCAGAGTGCATTTCTGTGAATTACTATGCCTTACAGCTTTAGGAAACTCTTTTTTAGCACATTTTCTTTTTTCCTAAAAATAATGCAAGCGGTCAATAGAATCCATTATAAACATTGGATCTGAGATGTCAGCCTCTCTATTTATATAGTCTTCTAAATTAAACACCTGACATTTTTTGAGATCACACTGAAAATTACATTTTAAAAAGTACTCTTAAAAAAGTGAAGTAGAAATACACCAAACACAGGAATCACATAAGTATACTTTCCATGACTGAGTATAAACCTGAATACTGAACAGCCCTTATACCCCATGGCAAAACTTACCTTTTACCTTTTACTTTTGTCTCTTTCACCTCCAGAGTATTCTCCTCTTCTTCTTCACCTTTCACCTATTCAGAAAATTACATAAAATTCTGGTCAGTGTCACCACTTACAGTTCCCAAATAAGACAATAGAATTCATCAGAATTATTAAACAATCTATGTTACTTACCAAGAAAGATCAAGTCAGCAGAGATACCAGAAACACATTTTAATTTGAGGCACATGCTAACGATTAGAGATTCTATTACTAAAAAACTACTCATCAACCCTTTAAACCTAAAACATCACCCAGCAGAAATTGACAAATATGTGTCAAACATGTTATACTCTTATCTTAGTGAGCACAAATATTAAGGTTATTAGATAAAAAAATTAATTGTACTTGCTATAATCCACTTCATTCCCTGCATCCTATGGCTTATGCAAATGATTTAGAAAAAAGGTACTGGCAGAAAGGAGAAAGCAGTAAGAAATACACAATTAGTTCCTTCAAAAACCTAACTAGGAATTTAAAAAAAAACCTCTCTCTTCCTCTAGCAAACTTCATTTCAACGAGATGGGTGGTGACAAATTTGATAAATAATAAAAAAAAACTCTCTATGGAAAAAGGTGATGTTTCCTTTCCAACTAGAATTTTGCAGAAGGTAACAACAGCAAGGCATCGATACTACTGCTTACAAAAAATACATTTTCTTTCCTTTTTTATCTTCACCAACAAGATTTTTCTTAAGTAAATATTGGTTGGGTGCATCTATGCATTCACTGTCAACAAATAAGACAGCATTCAGACACCTAATTTTAAAACAATAATAGTAGAGACTATGCTGCAGTTTCTCATTTAAAGCCTATCCTACTGGAAATCTTCTGGAAGAGCTCCCTGAATAGTCATCAAAGGTTGAGCTGACTTTGTTGAAGCCTGAAGATACATTTTCCTTTTACTGATGATAATAATCAGAGCCTCCTAAAATTTACTGAGAAAGTGCATTTTGCAAATGTCATTTTTATTCTCGAGGCAAAGAGTTTACTATAAAAGAAAAGTTCCCTATGACCAAAAGAGGAAGAAGCAACTTAGTACTGTATCCCCTTCCTAGTGTTTTGAACTGCAACATTCAGATTCCCTCATCACAGGCCATATAGAGGGAGGGTTACAAAAGTGGTTCTCATCCTAAAAAAATCATTTTACAACATTCCTGTTGTAAAAAATGCATTAGGGTTATCACAGCTCGAAAGTAGAGCCACGTTATCAGAAATGTCAGTTAGGAAATACTGGTTTATCCAAGGACTTTGCAAAGAATAAAGTGCTACGTTTCTGAGTTTATTCAACTTGTTTAATAACATAGGCCAGCAATTTTAAAAATGATTCCACAGATAGGAATTAACAGAAGATAATATCTATTCTACATAAGTCCTATAATTATGAATGCACACTAAACTCAAGGAACAGAACTGTAAATCAAAAACCCATCTTTCTTAATGGACTAAAAATGAAGACCAGGTGCCACAGCCCAGACCTCAGTCTCATACTGGCCTTGATAAATGCCCTTGTTCAAACTATTACAGTATTTTTCCCCACTAACGATTAGCTTTTCTATACTTCCTGGTTCCTTGTTTAATTTTTAAAATCACACTAACTTACATAATAAAATAAATTAAGAATGCTTACTTCCTAATAACAGAACCAATGTAAAATAGTATTAATAGTTTTTTCAAGGTGAAGCTTCTGTTAATATTTATAATTAACATGTAACACAATGACAACGTGTTTTATGACTTCTATCAAGGATCTTAAAGAGTCCCCAAACCAACTTTTTCTTCACAGTCATCCAGGATATAGAGAGAGTAATAAATGCTAAAAAGCTACTTAAAGAGGCTCCTGCCAGCTGCCTGAATATTAAGCTGAAGAGACATGCACAGGCTTTGAAAGCCACAGTTCCCTCTGGACTGACTACAGCTCATGGCTCTTGGGTTGAATAGTTTATGCTTACGTGTCAGTACTCACCAGGCCTTTACTACTGCAGCAACTCTATTAAGAGAGAATCAAGACACAGGAGTAACAGGAATCAAAGCAATGTGGTGAATCTGGCTACAGAATGACATTACTACCTGAACTGGCATACTGGCAAATGTCCAAATGGCATCTCAAGTGCAATTATGGATGAAATATAATTATATTTCAATGAAATTATATTTCCATTATTTTGTGTCCCCAGTTTACAGTTTCCTACACAAACAGCCTGGAACATTCTGAAGTTTTATTACATCCACAACATGGGTGGATTTTGTCCATGGTCTATATTAGGGTGCCGTCCGAATAGGGTGCCGTCCGAATATATTGTGTTAAAACTTCCAGCACCCACAAACCAACATAGCTGGACAAGGATGATAAAAGGTGTTATCCAACAACTCTGGATGACACGAGTCTGTAGCATGCAATACAATCTTCTATCTCCATATTCCTCCTACTCAGCTGAAGCATTAGCCCGTCCTCCATAACAACCGCCGATTTAAGGATTTAATCGGCCAGACCTCTCCTTTTCAGCAAAAATTGAAATTAGGAAGGGCGGAGAGGAAACGGAATACCCGGATAATAAGGCTGGGGAAGGGAGCGAAGGAAGAGAAGAAAATGAAGAAGAGGAGCCCTAAGCCTGAGATTCGCCTAAAAAGGGGAAACGCGGAAACGAAGAAACGCAAAACTAACAGAATCGCAGGGCGGTAGAGCGGCATCCGGGTTCGGGAGCGTCAGAAGAAGCAGGCCGAGGACGCCAAGGCCCAGTGGTTGCTCACCTGTGCCCCCAGGTAGGCCAGGTGGCTCTCCAAGCCGGGGTCCAAAGCCAGGAGGAAAGAGGTGGCCGATCCCGAGCTCCCCGCGGGGTTGGCCAGGCTCATCTCGGCCGTTACTTTGGCCAGGTGTGTGCTGAGGTCCACGGTCCGCTTTACGTCTTCATTGACCAGCTCCGGGGCTGCTAGGGCGCTGCCCAGGCAGAGAAGGAGCAAAAGGTGGACGAGAGGGATCCCCATGGCTGGCCTCGGTGAAGAGCGAAGCCGCGAGCAAACCGGATGGACTCACTCCTTAGCCTCGCTGTTCATTCATCCAGAGGGCACAAGATGGCGCCCCCCACGCCGAGCTACAGACAAGATGGCGACATCCAGCAACGCGCCGCTGTCAAAATGGCACTGTGCGCAGCGCGACGCTCTGATCCGCGCATCGCGTTCACGTCACGTGGTCGGGACATGGCGGGCTGATAGCAAATAAAAGATCGGCACGAGTGCTGTCGCAGACGTTGCTACGCGGCACGAGGTTCGTGTCTTCACGAGTCATTTTGAGGTCTTGTAAACTGATCCAGGTGTGAGTGTATGTCAGTACGCTGCAATTTTTTCCGAGTTGGGGGGATGTAGGCAATAGTACGTTACCCTGCAAGCCCTTCTCTACGGTAAAGATCGCAGTTCGTATACAATACTGCAGCGTAAGCATGCTTGGTGTAAAACAGCTTTGGTTACGTTTGTGGCATATTGCGCAAAGTGAGCCCAAGCTTTCTAGTAGTCCGTTATTGCCAGCAGGGAATGTTGAATGTGACACAGATACGTACGATTTTGCTATTACAGGATTGCTAAAAAGCACTTAGTGAAAGCTTCGGTTAACTAAAACCATGTTGCGTTGCAGACGCTTGAACAAGTCATTGAAAATGTATGAATGTGAAAAAAATTTATCGTGTGTTTATTGATTTGGAGAAAGTAAGTGAATAAACTTGAATTGCAGCACGTTTAACATCCATGGCTAGCTGGGGAATTCTGTAAGTTGAAGTCCACACATCTTCACGTGTGGGCCAAGGTTGAGAAACACTGCCCTAGGGGGTTGGACATTGGCTGCTCAATGCAATTATTATATAATGGAAATAAAGCATATGTGGAATATTTAGCAAATAGTTTGGTGTTCTGCTGAAAGTACAACTAGGATGCATGATTGTTTAATATTTTTATGGATAAATGTATAACAAACACTTGTGGTAGAGGTGTGTTGGTTAGAGAAATTAATACACATGTCCTTTTTTATGTAGACAAAGCCATGATGTTGGCTGAGAACCCAAATGATTTGCAGCAAATGCTAGATAAATTATATGATGGTACAAGCACTACGAAGTGAAAATTAATATAGCAAAGGTAATTGTGTTGATATGGAAAATGGAATTAACAATTTCAGTTTATACTTACCCATGGAAAAATTAAAATATATTGGGTGGTGGCGTTTTTTGTTTGTTTTGGTGCCTTCAAGTCAGTGTTTATTTCTGGCGATTGCCCAAACTAGTCCCTGCAGTTTTCTTGGCAAGGTTTTTTAGAAGTGGCTTGCCATTGCCTCTTTCCTAGGATTGAGAGGGACTGGCCCAAGGTCACCCAGCTGGCTTCATGCCTAAGGCAGGGCTACAACTCATGGTCTCCTGGTTTCTAGCCTGGTTTCTAGCCACTACACCAGATTAGCTCTCTGGTATATATGTTTAACTCCCTCTAAAATTCTATGATCACAGGAAAGTGTAATAATAGATTTGTAAGCATCTAGAAACTATTTTTTTGCAAATACAAAGTAGCAACTGAAATGTCATTTTCAAGTTACTGAATAGATGTACTCTCCAGGTACAGATCATTCCTTTCTGTCACAGTTATGGAAGCTTTGTTCATCAGTTGCTCATCTGAGATTAGTGTATGGCAGTTCACACATGCTAAGCTATAACTGAGCCAACCACTATATGGTTTAGTGCAATGTGTGAACCCAGTCACTGAGTCTACTCAGAAGGAAGTTCCATTGATATCTAAGAGATTTACAAGTCAGTGATGAATTTAGTTTTGGCAAATCTATATGCACTTACTTGGGACTTCTAAGGAAACCTGCAGAGCATTTAACTATTAATAGCATATGGCTTGAAATCCCTGGAAAAGCTGTACTAACTATGCCTGTATAGCAGTGAATTTCCATTAAACAACTTTTGAGTAATAGAGGATAATTGCACGTTGCTCACAATTTTTAGACATATATCTTATCAAAATGTCCTTTTACCCATCATATTGCAGAGTATATTACTCTGTAATTATAGTGGGTTCTTCTTTCAAACTTTGCATGCAACTAAAGTTATACTACAGGCTAAAATTAAGTTCGGACAAGATGAAGAAGCTGTTAGTTGGTTAAAAACAAACCAGTTCTAGAGTTGGGGTTCAGCCTCTTCTGGATGCAGCAGTACTTCAAAAATAGAGATCTGCAATCTGGGACTGCTTCTTGAATTCCAGCTATCTCTGGATTGCATTTGTATAGTGATACCCAATGTACTAGCTGCAAAGTTTTCTGAGCCAGTTGCTCAGAAGGCACCAAAACCAACAAAATACATGTTTCGGTTACATCCCAGTTTAACTACTACAATGAGCTCTTCTTTAGCCTACCCTTGTGGAGAAGTATTTACTGTAGTACAAAATGTAGCAATTTGGCTACAAATCAGTGCATGTTACCTATACTACACTTACATGTTAAAGAATCTGCACTTGTTGTCAGTTGCTTTCCAATTATAATTTAAGGTGTCCGTTTTAGCCATTAAGGGCCGAAATGGCTTAGGGACTGACTAGCTTAAAGATCACCTGTCTCAATACTGTATGAACTTTTCCAGATGCTAAGATCAGCAGGGCAGGCCCTTTTAAAGATGCTCTGGCTTTATGAGATATGTTTATTAGGCACAGTTTTGCTTCTCTGGTAAAACAAAAATCATGCTTCCTCTTTCTGGGGACCTTTTCATTTTGAGTAAATTTATAAGGATTTTTTTTTTTAAGTAATAGCTCAAATCTCCATGACCCAGTAACAAAACATTCCAGTCTTCCTGGAAATATTCTATTTCCTTTCCTTTTCTCCAGAATACACTGATTTCAGGGCTGCGCCATTTTTGAAACACACTGTAAACCATTCCTACATTCCAGGAAAAAAGTAGACTGATCCAGAAAACAACAGAACATTCTGTTACTGGATTAAAGAATTTTCAACATCTCTATTAAATGTCCATCTTATTTTTAATTATAGCTAAAGGCTGATAATATATTTATTTTAGTCATTGACCAATAAAATACATACAATAAAACAGACAACAGTATTACCCCTTCCATCAATAACTATTAGCAACCATTTGCAGGCGAAGCTTACACATTATGTAGCAAAATTTTGCAACTTTTAAGGAAATAGATTTATCTTGATTATTTAGCAAACAGTGCAAATAAAAGTTATCAGAATGCCCGGGGAATTTAAATAAAAGAGGGCTAATCAGCTGAAAGCGGATGTCCCTATAAAACTGACAATACAAGAGAACATGGACTGTGGTTTCAATGGCACCCGTGCCACATGGGCAGTATCGAATATCATAAGGGATTTTCCTGAGTAGATACATCTTCATCACCTTCCATTTCTCGCCCTCTCTCACATATACATACATACCAGTATTTTCCCATTGCTTCTTTCATATTGTTTTTATTCCATAAAACATCTGTTAGGGAGCAAACATTAGAATAGCTACATAATCTTTTGGCTGAGAACGCTAATAGCCATTCATCTGAAAGCATCCCTTTTTGTTGTTGCTGTTGCATTCTAAGGTACCATAGATTTTTCATTTTGTCAGATATAGCAGTCCACAAAACTGCCTAGGTCATCAAAACTAAAACCACAGTGAAACTACTTTAATGCAGCACAAGACTCTTTATTGCAACTTGCTGATGTTATAAGTAATTGAGGTTCTTTAAAGTTCTAGATAGTCTAATAACCAATAATCCCTTTTATAAAGATAATTGAGAATGTTATTGTGCACTTTTATGATTGCAGTGAACTGTTATATTTAATTTGTCAAATATATTTGTTCTGACCCAAAATTAAGAAAATAAAGGACTTGCACATTTTGAATGAATGTTGTTGAAATTATAGTCATAAGCACATTGACTTGGAAATAAATTAAATGAAAATTGGATAATTTTATTTGAATAGTGTTTTTCTGACTAAATTATTTTGTATATATACCACACATTGTTTCTTTCATTTTCAATTAAAAACATTCCATACAGTGTAAATAACAAATTGTGGAGTATTATCACCTCTTAGAAATCGCGGTTTATGGATGTGACACAAAATGCCAAGGCCATTAATTCCTCAATTTTGAAAATCATAGGATTAAGTTTGCAGGACACTTGTTCCATTCAAGATAACTAATATATTTCCAAGTAACTATGGAGTATATACAAAATTCTGCTACTATATCTAGATTAGAGCACCTATCATAGATTATCAGAAAGCTTAATGAATCTCACTTGTTCCATTCAAGATAACTAATATATTTCCAAGTAACTATGGAGTATATACAAAATTCTGCTACTATATCTAGATTAGAGCACCTATCATAGATTATCAGAAAGCTTAATGAATCTCACTTGTTCCATTCAAGATAACTAATATATTTCCAAATAACTATGGAGTATATACAAAATTCTGCTACTATATCTAGATTAGAGCACCTATCATAGATTATCAGAAAGCTTAATGAATCTCACTTGTTCCATTCAAGATAACTAATATATTTCCAAATAACTATGGAGTATATACAAAATTCTGCTACTATATCTAGATTAGAGCACCTATCATAGATTATCAGAAAGCTTAATGAATCTCAGGTTAACTTAATTTAGTCATAATATCAGTAAGTTTCAACATTGCAATGGGTGGTTTTTGTCCTTGTAGGGAAGGTTAGAGTGGGAAGCTTGTCACGTATCCTTGGAAAGGAGGGGATTTTCATCTGTTTGTTAGGAAAGTCATGTCAGAATACTGGGTTCTCCTCCTGAGTTCTTTTGTTGTGTCATCATCCATTTACTCACATTCATTCAGTAGTTTGTCAAGCTTATTAACTGCTCTCATAGCTCTTACTATGACTTGGCTCCTTAAATCTATTCAGGGGCATTCTCTCCTCTCCCAGATCCTAATAATCTTTTTCTCCTTACCTTTAAAGCTTTACACTTTATCTCTCTGCATTTATTTCCCACCACATCACATTCTGTGACTTTTATTCATTCATACAAAGAAGTGCTGAGGTATCCTGTTCTCTGATACGATTCAACACATTTTTCTTTGTTACCCTTATGTCTTGAAACTGTCTCCCAATACAATATGCTTATATGCAACCACCTTCCTTACTTCCCTCTTCAAAACTCACATTTGTCCAAAAGACTTTTGATCAACTCTCTTATTGGATCTAAACAAAGTGTATTAGCTTATTGACTGAAGCCATTACCTCATTTTCCTAATGAGTTTGCTACTGTAGCTCACCCATTTTCCTCTGTCTATTTTGGTCCTTAAAGGTAGGCTGCTGATATACACATATCTGCTGATATATGTTCCAGAGGAATTCTCATGTTAATCTTCTGCAACGAAGATTTATTGTCATATATGCTTTAATGGATTATTTATTAGTATTTATTTATTAGTATTATTTATTTCTGTATTCATTAGAAAGAATAAAGTTGCCGAGTAATTTAGCATACAAATCTCAAGAATTTCAGAATCTGCGCTGTAATTCAAAATAGGTATCATCCCATGAATGTAAGAAGAATGATAGCTTTTCACCTACACATCATTGCATTTTCATATTAAGCTGTATAAAATGTATGTTTGAAAGCCAGTTTAGTGTAGTAATTAAGGCACCAGGCTAGAAACCAGGAGGCCGTGAATTCTAGTCCTGCTTTAGGCATGAAGTCAGCTGGGTAACTTTGGGCCAGTCACTTTCTCTCAGCCCTAGGAACCAGATGATGGCAAATCACTTCTGAAATCTTACCAAGAAAACTGCAGGGACTTGTCCAGGCAGTTACCAGGAGTCAATGTTGACTTGAAGGCACAAAATATATATATATATATATATATATAAACTGAATGATGATTTT